AGAGAGAGAGAGAGAGAGAGAGAGAGAGAGAGAGAGAGAGAGAGGACATATTTTGATATAAAATCTAAAATCTCTTAAAATATTTAGTTATGGATATCCTTACCGTAATATTTTTATGCACAGAATAATGAAACGAATCAATTCGTGCAAAAAAACGTATTATTATTTTGAAGAAAAAGTAGTTGTAATTTACAATGTATTTTTTTTTTAACAATTATGCGTTTTTTTTTTATACCACTTGATTCTCATTATTCTATTCATAGAAGTATTACGGTAAAATTATCCATAACTTAATATTTTCTGAGATATTTTAGATTTTATATCGAAATATGTCAGATTAAGATATAAAATAACTCGAAAAGTATGAAAAAGAACTTCTAAAAGTATGAAAAGAAAATTATATTCTTTAATCTTGTTAATATTTTATTAACAAATAAACTGCCACGTAATAAAATTTTATGAACGTATTAATGAACGAAGAATCTCTTATCGACGTCGACGTCGATCCAGTCGCAAAACTTATAATGTAATATTATAGTAATAATATAGTTAATATGTTATTAAGTTAATATAAATGTTACATCCAAAATGTAGAAAAATAATTTCAACAATCTCTCGGTGATATCGTTACATCGCAATGATTTTAATCGCAGCTTTAATTGGGAAGAGGTGAAGATAATGGACAGGGAGAATTCTTATTGGAAGAGACTGACATCTGAGATAATTCAAATTAAACGCCAAAAATCGGCCATAAATAAACAGAATGACACAGACCTTCTGTCCGAAGCCTATTTACCACACATAAAATTGTTACCGTCCTAATTCTCCTTCCAAAATTTTCCCTCCCACAATACTGTTAGTTTCTTCCGGTACCATACGTTTTACCCGTTTAGACCTCACACAGTCAGCCACTGACATCACTAGGCGTTAGCAGCAAACTCGTCTCACAAGTAATTAATAATTTAGATATTTTTTGGTTTTTTCAATGTGTTTCTCGTGATCAGTTTCTTTTCTTTCTTTTCTTCTCTAATTCTGGTCATTTTTTATTATACAGTATTGTTCACTTATCACATACAACATGCGATTCAGACTGTTTTAAATGGATTCTTTAATTACCAGATATGTAACAACGAATTAAGTTACACTGTCAAGAATGTTTTTGTAATTTTTAACTGTCGAATTTTAGCTATTGTACTGAAGATGGCCCGATAGTGGCCGAAACGTATACTTATTAATAAAGAAAATTTGGAAAAAAAAAATCAGCAAAGAACATCTGGCATTGGCTCTCGATCTCATTAATCATTATATTTTATATATACTTATACTTTCTAAATGTCTTTTTAGATATTGCATTTAAAAAACAAGTCAATTATAAATTATTAATTTAAAACAATCGCAAATATGTAAAAATGTACAAATAATTTTAAAAAGAATTGAAACACAAGAAGATAGAACATTAATAAGAAAAGACGAAGACAGTATTTTTAATAAATTTGACTTTCCTCTGAAAAACATTTCTGAATTAAATGCCGTAGAAGAGTATCTAACCAATAAAAACAATACTAACTACGATGAATACAATACTAACATACTTGTAAATAGAATTTTAAATTAAAAAATAAAAGAATAAATTAAAAATGTCTTTATATTTTCATTAATATATTATAATTTAACAGGTAATAGAATTATCAAAAGTTGGGGGAGCAACGTATAAGCATACTATTAAAAGAATAATGTTCCAATTATTTTCAAATAAAGTAGCCGAAAAATATAGTTGGATTGGATTTAAAGGAAAGAATAAGTTTTTCCTTTTACGTATATCAGCTGCTATAATAAGTAAGTATTAATTAATTAATTTCATCTACACATGCATATAAATGTGTGTGCGTGTGCGTGTGCGTGTGCGTGCGCGCGTGCGTGCGTGCGTGCGTGCGTGTGTGCGTGTGTGGAACTATGTAATATTTATATTTTACTAATATAATATTTATTTAATTTATAGAAGTAGTGCAAAAAATACACATTGATATAAATAAAATAAGTGATATTAAAATAGTAATGAAAACATGGCTTGTAAGAGCAAAAGCTGGAAACGCAAAAAAATGTAAAATAGTGTTATAAGAGCAATACTTATGTATCTTATTATAAGAGCAATACTTAAGTATCTTATTATAAAGTACACTATGTACACTCAAAAGTTTGGAGCACTTTATAATTTCTAGATGAAAACATTCTTTACAGATGTAATTATTTTGTTAAAAATATTATTTTTATTTTTATTTTTGAAACATATTATTAGAATAAAAAATTAAAATAATAAAAACTTTTTTTTTTATATAGAGGTACTCCAAACTTTCGAGCGATAATATTACTTGTTTTGTATTATATATATTTTATTGTAAGAATGTGTGCAATTTTAGATGTAATTATTTTGTTAAAAATATTAATGTTTTTTTTTGGATTATGTTTATGTTTATATTATTGGAATAAAAAATTAAAACAATAAAAACATTTGTTTAACATTTAATATTGGTAAAGTTAATTAAACCTTTTTTTATATCAATGTATTTGCATAAATATTTAGAATACTAAAAATAATTTAGTAGAATATTCAGTGAATGTTCTTTACATGGTAACATCTTCTCTCTTTGAATATTCCTGGAATATAATAAAAAATATTTTTTTCAACCTATCTGGAATATTAAAATTGGTCTCATTTGAACGTTCTATGAAGATTTAAAGAACATCTTTTAGTACATTAAAAAAATATTCTAATATTTTTAACAAATATTTATAAAATGTTTATAGAATGTGTTTGTGTTATCTAATATGTTTAACTAATAAAGCTTAATAAATAATCAAAATTAAAAGAATTAATCTATAATAATTAAAATTAATAAATTAAATCAATAGAATGAAAAAAATTATGTCTTTCATTCCCATCTTAATTAAATATCATAATTAAATTCAGACAATCTGAATATTGGTATGATACACACACACGCGCACATCATACATATCTAAAAAATATTGAAGAAAAAATTTTTAATTTACATTAATAATTATGCGTGCTGTTAAATCATTGTAAAAAATGTTACAAAACTATTTTAATCAATTAATAATAAGTTACAATAATATTTTTTTTTAACTGGTTATCAAAAAGTGTGTAATAAAGTGTGTAATATGTACAATAAAAAGTTTACCTTAACTTCTTGCGGCTTCACGTTTGCAATAACAAAGGTTTCTTTATAAATTGGACTGGCGGTGTGCCTGATGCCCCTCGTTCTAAAACTGTGCAATTTTTGCCGCTTTCTGTGGCTCCATGATTGCTTCGCGATATTCAATGCTACATATGGTTCCAGAGTGCCGTTGTATTGCTTCGGAGGAAGGCCACATAACGCCTATAAAATATGGAATACTGTTTCTATTGCGTCATATTGTTTTATGTAGGGTATATTATTTTAAATTACGGATTACACAGATTACCCTGGTATAAGATTTTAATGTATTGTATATTTACACGGCTGTTTAAAAAAAATAAATTGTATTTCTTTAATAATTAATTAATCATTTTAGTAATTTAATGAAGTAATTACTAATTTTTCTTTTAAAATAAAGAAATATAATGAAAAAAATGTATAAAAAGTAAAAAAATATAATGTTGATTATCTCTATATAATATACTTTGTGTGAATAATGTTCAGTAGAATTAATATTACTCATATGACTAGACTCGTATACCTTAATAAACTCACGATAAATATGACTATATCTTAAAAGCTTACAAAGAAAAAGCAAAATTAAAATAACAAAACGGAAGGGTATCCAGAACACGCTTATATTTATTATATATTAGCGCGTTAACATAGTTATAAGTATGTTCTGAATATAGACCTAGATCTATTTGTACAAAAGTATACATTACAAAATCGTTATTTTTTCCTAATTTATTTAATATTTTAAAGAAAATTTAGTATTATAAAAGCATAAGTTAAAAAAGTATCTTTCTTAGGACCACTTTTTTCAACGTCGGTTAACGTTAACCGACGATTTCAATTTGTTAATAGAACTGCTAACATAAATGAAATATGGTCATCAAAAAAGAAAAAAATTTAAAATTTTTGTTACCTTTAATAAAAATATTTTAATCTTCACGTTAGCAATTCTATTAACAAATTGAAGTCGCCGGTTAACGTTAACCGACGTTGAAAAAAGTGGCTCTTAGAAGAGCATAGTAAACATAAATCGCTATTTTTATATTTTTCTTTTATTTTCTCGAAATATAATGTATATTGTACATACATCTTTTAAAGCTGAATTCAGACTCAGCGCATAAAACATTACAAAAAACTGCTCTTTCTTCTCGAACAACAGACTCATGCAGGAAAATGTTTTCCATTTTAACCAAATTTTTTCTTATAACTTGCTTATACAGTACATTGATCGATTGCTAACAACGCACTTCGATACCGATAACAAGCTTCCCGGTGACAATGTCATCGCAGGGCGGCAGGTACTGCAAGCTCATTGTTAATTCAGTCGGAAACTCTTTCACTTTCTTATCGCTCTTCTGTTTGTCCATCTGAATCAAGTTCTGCAATTTTTAGAGATAAATTACCATCGAACAAACGCAATGAGGCAATAAGTCTTGTTCAACTTTATAGTGTATAGTTACCAGAGTCGAGGAGCACTCCATGTTTTCACATTGAGCACTGGCAGAATTATATGATTCTCTGTGAGATTCCGCATTCTCGCTAATAGAACCTGTGTATATAATATTCTGTGTATGTAATATAATATTCATTTTTGTTATTTTGCTATAAGTTTGTTAAAAATTTCTCAATAGTAACAAATATTAATTGAGTTGCTTAAATCTATGATGATTTCAACTGGAATGAATTAATCTCTTGAGATCACCTGAAATCTTTTTAACTTAAATTTTAGAGTTTTTAAAACATAATTAACAATATAAAGTCACTTTAATATACATAGATACATGGACATCAAAGAACGAAGAGGCAAACAGACTAATCAAAACGGGGACAACAGAGAAGAATCCATTCGAATCAGAGTACTAGACAAAATGGTTATAAAAAACTGCCTAGATTGAGACATCTAACAAGAACATTTGACAAGATGAAAAGTCTGTAAAACCTGCCGACAACTGCTTTAAATTGTTCATGATAAAATTGTTACCAAATAGAATGTACAAACTCCTGGCGATGGAAAGAAACAAAATCAGAATAGTATACATACCCAGTAAACATTCGATATCCTATGTATATACATGAAATATCCATAATGTGAAAAAAATGTACTGTATATACTATGTACATACATATAATATACGCTGATGTAGATACATTTGTGGATATACATAAGATATCGTATGGATATACATACAATGTATATTTGAACGAGATCGCTGCCTGTATATGTATACATAGAATATACCTCGTGTACATTCCATGTATATACATGTAACGTACATACATACGATATACGTTGAAATAGATACATTTATGGATATACATAGGATATCGTATGGATATACATAGAATCAGTCATTAGTTCGTTCGCTTGCCACTATATGACGCATTATGCGCTATCTATTTCGTATTTAAGTTTTAATCATAAGAATTATATAAAACTTACAAAAGGCGGGTAATAATATTGAAGTCTTTAATTTGAAGATGTAATAACTTTTTCTATCAATTTAATATCTAAATCCCAACACAGGGAATTTAGATAAACTGATTGTTCAAAAATTGGGTAAATAAATATCCGAATAAATGAAAATTGTTTATTATTAAAAAACGTACTGTACCATATATACTATGTACATATATAGAATGTACCTCATGTACATGCCACGAATGTGTATTCCACATCCTCGGAATATATTATGTACATACTGCGAACGTGCACTGCACATCTTCGGAATATACCCCATGTATATACCACGAATGTACACTGCATATCTTTGGAATATACCTATGTATGTACTATGGACATTCTATGTACATAAATGTGGTAATTATTTCGCATACATAGGATATGCGCTTTATATACTTTTCACATTCTCTGTATATACATAGAATATACAATATACATATATGTATATACATAGGACGTACATAGAAGGTCCTAATGTTTATTGGGTATTGAGTTACAACCGGCCATACGACTCTGAAAACTCATCTCTACAATCTTGACTAGCGGAGAAAACAACATGCTGGCTGTGCAGAGCAAATAGGGAAAACAGCATACACATAATTTCCATGAATGTATAAGAGATATAACCTCCTAACCTGCATATTTCTAGAGCCTGAGAACTCAAGAGGATCCTGGAATCGTCTATTTTACCGACTAAATTCTATATTTCCAAAAAAATGCAGCTTTTTATTGGTTGCATAGAATTATAAATCTTTTTGCAGTTTTGAAGTATAGACACTAATAAAGTTGGGGTTGCATAAATTTTAAGCCAAGAAATAAAAAAAATAAAAAATGTGTATTACTGTTTACGAACACAATTAGTTGAATATAAAATTATGCAGTTTGTATGTACAAAAACGAGGTATCCCAACATTAGATTATACGGAAGAATGATGACCCTTCAAAACGCACGCAGAAAAATTATTCTGTGATCTCTGGAAGCTGATTGTGAGATACAACTTAAAAATTGACAAAATTTGCAGGTTTTAAAGTGCTCCCCTAATTTTTGTGCGTAGTGTATATACATCGATCTCATTTTCGAGAATCAGAATGTACGAATTAAAGTAAGGAAGTTATTTAAAAGGAAGGAAGAACGAGAGAAAAAATATCAGGACGCGAGTGACTAAGCCAAGATCTGAATCCAGGTCTTCCACTTTCCGGGCGACTGTTCTTTCCACTGAACTACTCAGACCCCACACTTTTAACATTCAACTCTCATTGGTTTTTAGGAAATAAACAAATCTGTAGGAGAAAGACGCTACTTGAAATCCGCGTGATTTTGAAATCCATATATAAGAGAAATCCATATGAGGAATAAGCTCGTATGATAATATCATATTAATATATATGTACATTAAAAGGCTTCTCGAGCCATCGCTGGTTGTTAGTGCGAAAATTTTTAATGTTTTATATAAAAACGGCTTAGCCACTCGCGCCCTGATATTTTTTCTCTCGTTTCCTTCTTTTCAAATAACTTCCTTACTTTAATTCGTACATTCTGATCCTCGAAAATGAGATCAATGTATGTATTTCTCGTACATTTTAGTATTTCGAATCTGCGATCAGTGTACACTTTAATAATATCTCAATGTAGACGAATCAAGTTTCTATGTAAAACATTAAAAATTTTCGCACTAACAACCCACCGATGGCATGAGAAACCTTTTAATATATAATATATATTAATGTGTTATATGCATTTAAAGTTTCACAATTTGTTCTTATTTTTCTACTGTACCGCTTTTTCTTTGACTGAGTGTACATATAATAAAAGAACATACGCGGAATAAAATGTAATTTTATTTTTGAGAAAATAAGTATTAAACTTTTTTGAGAAAGAATACTTCTGAGAAAGAATACTTTTTACCATACTTGTAGTTACATAAATGCATCATATACTAACAAGGGAACGTTCACAAGTGTCCTCCCCCGATTTGATTCTTCTTGAAATATGTTGTAAAACATACAATTTGAGGAGACACGTATTTTTTATAGCGGCCCTAACTCAAATTTAAAGGGTGAAACACCTCTTTGAAAAAAAACGGGTTTTTTCTTTGTGTGTAAATATCGCCAAAACCGTAGGAGATATAAAAAAATGCAATAATAATTGGTTATTGCTCTTTCTTAATTAAATTAAAAATCGTTTTAATATATATAGCCAATAGAGCAAGAGCTGGATCGATTTGCTCAAAAATTCCTTTTATTTATAAAATTCTACAGACGTTTCGGCCAAGGTACGTGGCCATCTTCAGTGTAATACAAATTATAAAATTTAGTACATGATTAGAGAAGCTTTGGTACTATTTTTGACTAAGGAAACGCATCCTGTTAAAGTGAAAAAACCAAAATTAGGGGTATTCTCACGGCTCAAACAAGTTGTAGAAAAAAATTTTTATATAAATACCTCTGATAAACGTGTAGTACAATGTGGTTAGCAAAGTTATATACGTGTGAAGCCACAGACCGTCTAACTTGCAAAATTCGAAAAAATAAACCAGATTGAAAGCAATTATAAAAAATTAGATAAAACAAAGATATGAAACCATAAAATAAAAATAAATTAATTTTGAATATCAATACCTTAACGGTTCGTCACTAATATGTAAAAGCAATTAAAACTGTGACATGTGTCCACGGATGTGAGTGGGACTCGACTGGTAAGGATGTAGGATGGAAAGGAAAGAGAGGATAGGTAAACGAAAACTACAGGGTGGGGAATTTTTTGAGTATTGGAAGATATGTATCAGGTAATGATTCTGTGTCCTCCTGTTTGTTCAGTCCTGTATTCTGTCTTTTTATATGTAGCATTTCGGAAGTTAATCTTTTACTGTAAAAGATTAACTTCCGAAATGCTACATATAAAAAGACAGAATACAGGACTGAACAAACAGGAGGACACAGAATCATTACCTGATACATATCTTCCAATACTCAAAAAATTCCCCACCCTGTAGTTTTCGTTTACCTATCCTCTCTTTCCTTTCCATCCTACATCCTTACCAGTCGAGTCCCACTCACATCCGTGGACACATGTCACAGTTTTAATTGCTTTTACATATTAGTGACGAACCGTTAAGGTATTGATATTCAAAATTAATTTATTTTTATTTTATGGTTTCATATCTTTGTTTTATCTAATTTTTTATAATTGCTTTCAATCTGGTTTATTTTTTCGAATTTTGCAAGTTAGACGGTCTGTGGCTTCACACGTATATAACTTTGCTAACCACATTGTACTACACGTTTATCAGAGGTATTTATATAAAAATTTTTTTCTACAACTTGTTTGAGCCGTGAGAATACCCCTAATTTTGGTTTTTTCACTTTAACAGGATGCGTTTCCTTAGTCAAAAATAGTACCAAAGCTTCTCTAATCATGTACTAAATTTTATAATTTGTATTACACTGAAGATGGCCACGTACCTTGGCCGAAACGTCTGTAGAATTTTATAAATAAAAGGAATTTTTGAGCAAATCGATCCAGCTCTTGCTCTATTGGCTATATATATTAAAACGATTTTAAT